CCCCAAAACCCCAAAACCCCAAAACCCCAAAACCCCAAAACCCCAAAAATAGCAAGGAAATTTGAATAAATAATTTTATAAAAATGAACAAGGAAGAGATGTTTTTGTATAATGATGATGTCAATGGTAATAAGATTGTTTTGTTGTATAATGATGATGAGGAAGAAGAGCAGGAAGACCAAAACGAGCATATTCAATCACAGGAGGTAGGATTCGGTGTTTTTAATGGATCTATACAAGCTTTTAAGATCATGGCTAAATATTCCTATAGTTTTATAGAATTAAGGGAAAGAATAGTTCTCTCCCAAGAGAACCTGTGAGTACTGTAAGTCATCCTGCTCTTCTTGCATATTTTGCAGCTGACTTAGATTATAGATTGTCAAAAGACCTGCCACTGGTTCAATGAGACGTAACTTAAAATAATGCAAGAGGAGCAACCAAGAGAAACAACTACAATATGGGTATGGTTAATATGTCCAAAAGACTGAAAACTTCTTCTAAGAAACAAAGAGAGGGATTGAAAGGGCGCATGATAATGACTCAAAGCTCTCCATTTATCAAAAGAGGTATTCAAAAACCAACTTCGCCTGAGAGAGACGAAATGGGAGGATTTACTAGGAAAGCTCAATCCAGAGTCAGCAGATATAATTTTAATAAATAAAGAAATGGAAACTTACTCCAACTTCGTTGAACTGATTGCAATGTTCGACTCCCAAAGTATGGCCGATATCCTAGAAGATGTGCTCAAAGATGCTGAAGAACTAAAAGGAAAGTAACTAATTTGCAGGTTTCTGGTTGGATCCATTAAGATAAAATCATAATCTAATGACAAATTTATCTGATGTTCTGATATAACACTGTGTTCAAATTTTACCTCCTCATTAAACTAGCCTTAATTCTCCTCTACCCAAGTCAGCTCATAAATTCCCTCATTTCTTCCAAAGTCACATCCCAAAGAATTTAGTAAAAGCTGTTTGAAAATTTCAATGTTCCTAGTTAATACTGGGGTTTTGGGGTTTTGGGGTTTTGGGGTTTTGGGG